CGGATCTGCTGCGCAACGCGGCCGCTCCGCGCTGAGTCATGGCGGGGGAGGAAGCAGGGCGAGATGGAGGACTGCCCCCACCCCGGTTTGGCATCCAGCCCCGGGTGCAAAGTATTAGGGGGCTTCTTGCCTCTGCGGGGATCCCAGGAGGAGTGAGGAGGCCAGTTCGAATACTGCCCCGGGTCCCCCCGAGGGGGTGGCTCCTGTCCTGGGAGACTGGAGAGGAGGGGAAAGCCCTGAGCAGCGTTGAGGACCAGTTAACCTTTCCCTGTCTTTCCGTATTTTGTGACCTTGGTTCTGAGTCTGCAGCAGCTGCAGCCGCGCGGACAGGCATTTTTCTGGGAAGGAGTGGGATGTTTGCCTCTCCTTCAAATCCCTTTTCTGGATGTGAACGGTGGAAACGCGAACCTCACCCTTTCCTGCACCTGGGCTAGGCTTGTTCCCCTGCCCCTTACCGGCGCTTGGTTGCCCTCCTACCTTTCCACAATGCCCTTGCCCTAACGCCTTTCCTCGCCGAGATGGGAGAAGCGTGACCTTGGGGTGTCCTTGGAGGGAGCCTGAGCCAGCCGTGGGATCCCGGGTAAATTGGAAGGGCACCCCCAGTAAGTGTGTTCTAGGCACAGATCTGGTCACTGGATTACTGTTTGGTACAAAACACAGACGTTTTCTCTCTGGGCCTTTTCACATGAGGCTGTTGAGTTTTCTGTTTGTGACCTTTAAATTCTAAAACATTCTGGTTCGTTTTTGTTTCTAGGCAGAGTGACCCAATGGCAACGCGCAGGTCAGAAGGGTTCAGCTTCGACATGACCTGCCTGTCCGTGGCTTTGGCTTTTTCCTTTCCCACAGTTGCCAGTGGGCAACCCCACTCTCAGCTGGGCAACACCCAGCAGCAGACAGAGTTAGGAAAGGTACAGGCGGAGGCAGGCCTAGTACAGGGAAGTTTGGCGCAGGGAGATCTGGGGACCTGCCTGGGCAGGGGAAGTAGGGAACATTTACCCTGACCTCCACGCAAGGGGCTCTGCTCCCTGGGAGCACACGGTGAAGTCCAGCTAACCACTCCTCCCTCTTCCACTTCCTCCACCCAGGAACTTGCAACTGCCGGCACCATGCCTTACCCATACCCAGCACTGACTCCGGAACAGAAGAAGGAGCTGTCTGACATCGCTCACCGTATTGTGGCCCCGGGCAAAGGCATCCTGGCTGCAGATGAGTCCACTGGTGCGGAACAAGTAGGAGTGGTGGGGGGAGGGGGAGGGAGTGACAGGCTGGTCCCCTTATTCTGCCATTATGACCCTCCAGGGAGCATTGCCAAGCGACTGCAGTCTATTGGCACTGAGAACACAGAGGAGAACCGGCGCTTCTACCGCCAGCTGCTGCTGACTGCTGATGACCGCGTGAACCCTTGCATTGGGGGCGTCATCCTCTTCCATGAGACGCTCTACCAGAAGGCGGACGATGGGCGCCCTTTCCCCCAAGTTATCAAATCCAAGGGTGGGGTCGTTGGCATCAAGGTGAGAGGATAGGGCTGGAGATGCATCTGGGGACAAGAGGTGCAGATTAACATGAACCTTGTGTTGGAGGTCTAGAGACTTGGGTGGAGTCAGCCCCAGACTCAGGGCATCTAGCTGGCACTTCTTGTGATGCTGAGATTAAAGCCAGGGTGGTGTACGTATCAGGCAGCGAGAGGCTGAGGCAAAAGAATCAGTTTCTTTGCTCTTGTGAGGCAGGTGGCAGCACCACTGAGCTAAAAACCTTGGCCCAAGAATTGAGTGTTGAGTCCAGCCAAAGCAACTTAGTGGTTTAGCAAGTCTGCTTCAAAAAAAAAAAGAGACCCTGGATTCAATCCCCAGTTCTAGCCCCACAAAAGTTTAAAAATGTTAAAAGAAGGAAAAGCTCGGGATTTGCACCTAGGCTTGGTAGGACACTAATCACGTAACTTCAGAGGCTGAGGCAGGTGGATCCTTCCTATGAGTTCAAGGTCAGCCTGAGCTATGTAGTGAGATCCTGTCTCAAAAGAAAAGTGCAAACCATGCAAAGTCACATGAGACTGAGGGAAGTGGGGAGCTTCAGGGAAGGACAAGGTGCCAGAGATCATGGCCTTCATCCACCTCAACAGGTAGACAAGGGTGTGGTACCCCTGGCAGGAACGAATGGCGAGACCACTACCCAAGGTGAGTTCTGTGGCTCCTTCCCCTGCGAGCCCATCCTGCCAAAGGTGGTTCCTGCTTGGGTGCGAGAAAGACTAAAAGACTAGAGCCCCATGCCCCTCTCCCACACCTTCTCTTTAGGACTGGATGGGTTGTCTGAGCGCTGTGCCCAGTACAAGAAGGATGGAGCTGACTTTGCCAAGTGGCGCTGTGTACTGAAGATTGGAGAACACACTCCCTCAGCCCTTGCTATCATGGAAAATGCCAACGTTCTGGCCCGTTATGCCAGCATCTGCCAGCAGGTGGGGCTGCAGATTCCCCCTTAGGCCACTTGCCACCTGGGTTGCTTCCAGTGTGGACTCATGGGGCCTTCGACTGCCCAGATACCTGTGGTCCCCACACCCACCCAGCGCCAGGCTTATCCGAGGAACAGTGCAAGGCAGAGCAGCCCAGTGGGAATTGTGTGGGTGGGTCTGTGCAGAGCCCGCCTCCAGTAATGGCGCTGAGAGCTTTGAAGCACAGGGCCCATCTCACCGCTAAGGTTAGATCTTGGCTAATGGCTGTGGCATTCCAGATTAGGAGAGCTCCTGACTACCCTGTCCCTCCCCACAGAATGGCATCGTGCCCATCGTGGAGCCTGAGATTCTCCCTGATGGGGACCATGACTTGAAGCGCTGTCAGTATGTCACTGAGAAGGTAGGGTGTCTCTCCCTGGGTGGTGTGGTAGGGTGGACATCTGAGCCTTGGCCCTGTCCTTGTCATCCAGTACCCACCCCACTTTGGCCCTGTCCCACTCTAGGTGCTGGCTGCTGTCTACAAGGCTCTGAGTGACCACCATATCTACCTGGAAGGCACTTTGCTGAAGCCCAACATGGTCACCCCAGGCCATGCCTGCACCCAGAAGTATTCCCATGAGGAGATTGCCATGGCAACTGTCACTGCGTTGCGCCGCACAGTGCCCCCCGCTGTCACTGGTGAGCCCACCCCCTCTCCTTGGCCTCAGGGAAGTAGATGAACTAAACCCACACACCTGGGTCTCTGACTAACAGCCCTCCTTATTGCGCCTCTGTTTGCAGGGATCACCTTCCTGTCTGGAGGACAGAGCGAAGAAGAGGCATCCATCAACCTCAATGCCATCAACAAGTGTCCCCTCCTGAAGCCGTGGGCTCTGACCTTCTCCTATGGTCGGGCCCTGCAGGCTTCTGCACTAAAGGCCTGGGGAGGGAAGAAGGAGAACCTGAAGGCTGCCCAGGAGGAATATATCAAGCGAGCCTTGGTAAGGCCAGGCGCAGTGTGGGTGGGGATGGGGGAGTGGGCAGGGGCTCTGAGAAGAGACCTCACTCTGGCTCCTCTCCCTCTTAGGCCAATAGCCTTGCCTGTCAAGGAAAGTACACTCCAAGTGGCCAGGCCGGCGCTGCAGCCAGTGAGTCCCTCTTCGTCTCTAACCATGCCTACTAAGCTAAGGTTCTGAAGCTGCCCCCCAACACTCCAGGCCCCTGCACCGCTGACACTCAAGAGGGGGCCTCTTCGGGGCTCCAAGCTTTCCCATCACTCTTGCCTCCCTTGTGACTCTGGTGTGTGGTGTTGTCTGTGTACGCTAACTTCAGCACTCCTTCCAGCCCACTGCCAATAAACAATTATTTAAGGGGGTCTGATGTGTGTGTGTCTTGTGGCATCCAGGTCAGGGGTGGGCCTGAGGAGTAGCTGAGCCCAGAAGAGGAAAGAGCTCTTGTTTTGTGTTCATCTTTCCTGACAGGAAGTAGATAAAGGGGTTAGGTAGGACTTCCCTGTTCTGTTTCTTAATTCCCCAGGGCTTTGAAGAAGTTTGTGATTTTATAAATGTGTGTGTGTCTCTTTCTTTGGGGTACCGGGAATTGAACTCAGGACTTTGCACTAAGTAGGTGCACTGCCATGGAGCTAAATCCCATACATATACATATGTTAGAGCTAAATCCATATATATATATATATATATAATTTATTTTTTTTTTAAGATAGGTTCACTCTAGTTTGGGCTGGCCTCAGATATCAGAGGAGATCCTGCCTCAGCCTCCCAAGTGTTAGGTGGTGTGCATGACCACACCTGGCAAAATTCTCAAGTCATGGGAGAATGCAGTATGAGTGCACAAGTAGAAGACTACAGCCGTGGCGTGGCGCTCTTTCTTGAGTCACATTCTCACTGTGTAGTTTGTACTGGCCTTGATCTTGCCATGTAGTGGTTAACCTCAAACTTGAAATCCTCCTGTGTCAGTTTCACAAGCAACTGGGATTACAGGTGTGTGGAACCACGCTCAACTCATGGCCTCATTTTTAGACCCCAAACCCAGGTATGCAGAAGGCCCTCATGACAAAAACAAATTGACTTTTCCTCGGCCCGGCAACATAATGGTGTTCTATATGAGTAGGTGATGTTGCTCCTGGTTTATGCTTGTGGTTATTTTACTCAACACTACATTCCTTCTTGGTGGAAATAGGATGTTTAATCTATAGCTCCTTAATCTATGCTATTGAGCTATTGTTTTGTTATCCCACTACAACACAAGATGGGACTTAAGAGGGCTGGGGGATGTATCTCAGTGCTGTGCCTGCCTTGCAAGCACAAGGTCACAAGTTTGATGCCCATTACCAAAAAAAAAAAAATGTTAGTCCTATGGGTTGGAAACCTTTAAGAACTTGGAATTGTTTCCTTTACCTCCTTGAGTATAGACACAGAAGCTTGACAAGCTCAGGGTCCAGGTTAAGAACTGAGCTTCTGAGCTGGGTTCCTGGCTTTGTGGAGTACACTTGCCCATCCTGCATGAGGTCCTGTGTTCAATCACCAGCACTGAAAGGAAATATCGGTCTGTAGCTGCTGCATTTCAGGAAATCAGAATGAAAGGCTCACACTGCATGAGTTGTGCCTTGAACCTTTTCAAATCATCCAGTCAGGTGTAGCATCAACTCTACAGTAATAGCTCTTGCAGATTCTAGCCAGAACTATGTAACTGGTTAATCTCATTTCCCAAGTGGCCTGCAACCTCCTCTCCATGCTTTCCTGGTATGGGCCCTTTCCATTCTGAGCTCTCAGCAAAAAAATCTTGACTTCTGATCCTTTGAACCTGCAGGATAGAATCCCCAGTGATTCACACAATAGTTTTGAAACACCTCTCCCTCTGCACATTTGTCTGCTGCCTATAGCCAGAACCAAATCTGGTGTGGGGGTGTAAACCATGATAGAGCTTTTTGCCTAGCATTAGCAAAAACCTGGGTTCAATCCCCACAACTGGGAAAAAAATCTAGTACCCCTCCAATTTCTGGCTTTATCTGCCTAGCCTCTCAACTGGGAACAAAAATCTGAAAGCTAATAAAATTGAGGATTAGTAGAAGATGGTAGAAAGGACATTTCAAAAGGGACCCTGATGAGTCAAGGCAGAGCCAAAAAGTATTAAAAGATAATAGCTCGTAGGGCCAGGGATTTAGCTCAGTGGTTTCCGGCTCCTGCCACCAAGTTAGATCCCCGAAAAAACATTAAAAAAGATAATAGCTCATCCTCCTGCAGCAAGGACTAGGGAGGCAGGGGACTTCATAATGCCAGTTTAGGAAGTGTTGGTCTTAATTTTATGACACTGAATTCCAGAAACTAACAAGGACACACCTTTCCCGGTTCAACTCCCCGGGATCAAGAGATGGAGGAGAAAGGAAGATGGAAGAATTTACCATGTGCATTGTACCAACTCCCCATAGTGAATCTTACGTACTGCAAACATGTTATAAAAAAGCACTACACACACAAGTTCAAACTCCCAAATTTTTAGCTATGCAACCACGAAAAAGTAACTTTTAAACCCCTGCGCCAGTTTCTTAAAAAGGAATAAAACTTTCAGACAGTAGAGCTAAAAAGGCTGTAGGGGACCATTCCGGTCGGGGGATCGTGTGAGACAGGCGGGCTCCTTTCCAGCAGAGCTTCCGAGCGCCTCCCTCGCAAAGATTTCACAGCGGCAGTGGGAAGAGATTTGGGCTGGGTGTTTTCTATCCACTGAGCAAATATGTACGAATGTCTACGGTGCCAGGCCTCAGGACTGCCACTGCAACACTGAACAAGACAAAGTTGCACCCGTCAAGATTGTAGCGAGATGGGGCCGGGGATTTAGCTCAGCGGTTCGGTGGCCTGCCTTGCAAGAGCAAGGACCCGAGTTCAATCCCCGGTACCAAAAAAAAAAAAAAAAAAA